CCCCCCTTTAAATTATGGAGTTCAGGTGCTCCCAATGAAGGTTCTGTTAATGCTACAACATACAAAGACATTGTAGACAATTGTGCTCTTCCAAAATTGGGTTAAGACCCTTTTCTGTTCCACCATGACAGTCCCCTGTGCACAAAGCCAGCTCCATAAAGACATGGTTGGACCAGATTGGTGAGGAGGAACTCAAGTGTCCTGCACATGGCCCAGACCTAAACCCTACTGAACACCTTTGGGATGAACTGGAATACAGACTGTGAGCCTGGTCTTCTCATCCAACATCAGTACCTGACCTTTCAAAGGGGCACACATTCCCACAGACCCCCTCCAAAATCTTGTGGAAAGCCCCCCAGAAGAGTGAAGGATGGCATAACCACAAAGAGGGTACCAACTCCATGTTAATGACCATGGTTTTGGAATAAGATATCCAACAAGCTCATGGTGTGATGGTCAGGTGTCCATGTAGTACACCTTTATTGAAACAATCGCAGTCAGATGAACTGGGAACAACACATTCCTTATAGGTGCCCATGAGTGAAAAGGTCAGATGACCATGGAAAGACACATCCCTTAAGGTGCCCATGGGTGATAAGATCAGATGACCATGGAAAGACACATCCCTTAAGGTGCCCATGGGTGATAGGGTCAGATGACCATGAAAAGACACATCCCTAAAAGTGCCCATGGGTGATAAGGTCAGATGACCATGGAAAGACACATCCCTTAAGGTGCCCATGGGTGATAGGGTCAGATGACCATGAAAAGACACATCCCTAAAAGTGCCCATGGGTGATAAGGTCAGATGACCATGGAAAGACACATCCCTTAAGGTGCCCATGGGTGATAGGGTCAGATGACCATGGAAAGACACATCCCTTAAGATGCCCATGGGTGATAAGGTCAGATGAACATGAAAAGACACATCCCTTAAGGTGCCCATGGGTGATAGGGTCAGATGACCATGGAAATACACATCCCTTAAGGTGCCCATGGGTGATAAGGTCAGATGACAATGGAAGGACACATCCCTTAAGATGCCCATGGGTGATAAGGTCAGATGAACATGAAAAGACACATCCCTTAAGGTGCCCATGGGTGATAAGATACCCCTCATTATTTGCAGCACCAATGGGCCCACCATGAAGACCAAATTTATACTTTCTGCCCCTCGAGGCTCACTGTCTTGTGCTGCCTTTTCCAATCCCAGTTGACTACCAAGCCTTGCTATCGAGAGCAGATGCCATAGCCGCACAAGGCAAGATGCAGCTGGAGATGTAGATCTTAAAGAGACTATTTGTCCATTCTGAGGCAGTACACCTTTAAATGATGACTAGAAAAGTTGGACAAGCTGTGGATCTCTGCTGGCCTTCATGGGCCCACCATCAAGGACAGCAGTTTGGTTCTCTAGGTAAAGACCAGAGAGAGTGAGCTGTACATATACATTACCAAATGCAAAAACTGTTGATGGCAACGAAGTCCTGGCCATATTATATTGGAAGGCATGGTGATCATCTAAATCCAGTGGTGTGCCAGCGGCAGGGTTACAGGTGCTCCCCACCCTGGGTGCATCACCGCCGTCGTCGGACAGACTGATCCCCTGCCTGCCAGTCCCTGTATAGTTCCGGTGGTAAGGTCACTCATCAGAGAAACCAAACTTCTCAGGTAGGCACCACATTGACCTGCCAGTGAAACAAGGGAAAGGGGGGGAGGGGGGCATTCCACAGGGAATGGTCGGTGAGAATTTCAATTGGTAGAATGCCCTTTAGAACGGCCTTCTAAAACGACGCCCATGATAACCATCATCTGCTACTACAAAACAGTGTTTATTTTTTGGCTGATAATTTTAGTTCCTGCACCGGTGGAGGAGGGGCGCAACCAGCGTCACGCAGCTTTTAAAGCTTTAATCCTCCACTTCTTCATGGCCTTCAGTCCCACGCGGCACAAAAAGCTCCTTCCTTCGCAGCGGCCACCAAGTCTTATCATCTCCCCGGGTTCAATTCCAGTTTTTTTTTTTCCCCCTGGAATGGA